TGATGGGGATTCGAACCCGCGACCCTCAGATTGCAAGTCGAGCGCCCTAACCACCTGGCCATGCCGGGCAGGTAAAGTTAGAATATCAAGTTAAGTTTCCGTACGCTCTACGTTATGCTCTAAATTCACATATTTTAAGTCTATGTTTAAAATTTATAAAATGTGCACAAAGCATTATAAAAATTCTATGGACTAAGTGAATTTCGTTACTAATTAACTGGATCATGTACATAAAACAGTTCTATAGCTGTTAGTGTGTTAGAATAAACAAAATAAGATAATAAGAACTCACGGTAACACTTCCTGCCGACTTTCTGTTTTCTGCTTCTTGAAGTGAATACCTTGGTGTGGATTTGGTAGAGGGACGAGAAGATCCCAATTCTAACGGTTTAGCGACTCCTGGTCCGAGTGCCTGAGCATGTCCTAATGTGACACTGGCCCGCCGTGTAGATTTCAAGCTTGGACGTGGGCTATTTTCTCGAGTGACGCTGGTGAGACTCAGGGAATGTGACCTTTGTCCAACACCGGTTGTTAGTGTCATAGATCTCCGGGGTGTTGAAGGAATGTTGACCATACTGGCCCGTCGCATGGCAGGTTGGGAAGCCCGACGAGTACTTTTACGGTGCACCATGGTTCCTTTTCTCGCCAACATGGACATGATTTTGGTTTTGTTATACCTGTAACCAAGTGCTTTTATTAGTAAAGACCAGAGGTGCCCATGACTTTAACAATCTTTCACTGATGTCACTAGTATACCATATTTACCAGGAAGAAGTAATGTAGTTTGGATAGTGCGATTTGGCAATAAAAGTTTCGAATGTGTCTCAGAATATTACGTAACTGATTCACTAAGCTACGAATGTCTAGGGGAAATTTCTCTATGAACAGTCTTTATTAATAGCTGTAGTTCGTGAAACCAACTCAGATTACAGTACCCCTTATTCTTGTAGCCTGTTCATCTTTAGACTGAGATTATTGAGCTTGTATTTCATTTGTTGTTAGTGTCTTCTTCTTTCGTTTGTCCTTAAAGATGTTAAGTCCAGCAAAGTTTTCTCTTCTAAAAATGACCTTTTCATAGGTTTGCTTTAGTTGATAGTTACAGACTTAAATTTGTCCATCTTGAAAATTGAAACTCGTGCTGTTATTTCTTTGTTACTGATAATTCTTTACTTCTCTTTATCTTCATGAAGACGTTCTTTTACTGATCTGAAGAAGAGCGTTGACGTAGTACCGTCAAACTACGGAAGACGTTTCTTTAGAATTATTTTATATCTTAAACGACCGTTAAATTTTGAAATACATTATTTATTTTTCATTTCGCATATCTGTTTACATATCTTTTTCGATAGTAACAAACAAAAACAAGCTAAGTAATAGCAAGTTTGCCTCTCAAAGGTAATAGCAATAGATGACCAGCTCTCAACCTGTCTCGACTAACTTAACTTGTAAATCAACACACCTGAGTCACGCATTCGATTCTCTCGCAACCAGTGGCGCCAAGAGACTGCGAGATCACGTAGATACTTTCCACCAAATTGTGATTGAGACTGCGCTGCGCATGATTTTTTTCATTCTGGAGTGAGTGTTAGAGTTGTAACCTTAGTAACGAGAACTACGCTAATCGAAAGGGAAAATTAACGTAAATTACAAAGCATAGGCCGTTACCTGTCATCATTTAGTAGCATTAACTTTCTCAGGTTTGTTTCTTTAGAATGGCTTTCTATCGATCCATTTCCGCGATTTTTTTTTTACTTTGAATTTGGTCACTCATACTTTCTCAAAACTTGTTTGTTTGTTTGTAATTAAGCACAAAGCTACACAATGGACTATCTGTGTTCTGCCCACCACGGGTATCGAAACCCGGATTCTAGCGTTGTAAGTCCGTAGACATACCGTTGTGCCACTGGGGGGGGGGGGCTTTCTCAAAGTATTTATTTTATTTTCTCTGCGTTGCTTCTTCCTTCGTTTGTTTCTGATTTCCACATCTTGTATCTCACTGTTAGTTTATGTATTAACTCTTCATGTTATTATTACGTACTGGTTACCTGGTGGTTCAGCGATATGTTTACGGGCTTACAATGCTAAAATCCGAGGTTTAATTCCTCGCCAAAGAAGAAGCTCAGATAATCCATTTTGTAGCTTTGGGCTGAAACAAAACAAACTTCCCTTTTTTACTTATCTTGTATCTTCCTACCGCATCTTTTTCATATGATAATTTCTTGTTTTCCTCACTTTTACTTTCCTCACTTTTTATCAATATTTATCAGTTCTGTTTTTCTTTAAAGAATTTTTTCGATCTTTTCTTTTTTTAACTTTCCTTCGTTTCTCATTCTATCTTTGTCCAGAAATATTTTTTTCTCTTTCTCTTTTTCATTTTTAAAAAATCAAATGAATTTTGTTTCTTTGTAAGTAAATATTGAACAATAACCAAACTATAAAGTTTTTGTTTTGATTAGTTTGTTGAAATCTGGATAGAAACTCTATATTAATTCAGTTTATAGCTTTATATGTATGTATATAAACTTAACTAGCTCATCCCACAGTTCTGGACATAACAGGGTTAAATTGGCAGGCGAAATCATGGTGTCCCTATCTATATAGCGGGTCTAAATGCCCTAGAATGTCACCCAGACATGATATGGTCTAATAGTAAATTTTCAGAGTACTTAACATGAATCTAGCATTGGATTTTGTGTTTCCGGTTTTCCTTAATACCATGGACGCCATATTTAATTTTGTATGTATCTCTGTATCATTTTCCAGCTAATCTCCCTCACAGTTTTGAAGCTAGCAGGATCAAAGTCGGCAGGCAGATTCAGGATGGCACGGGGGTGTGTGTATTTACCTATATAACATAACTCTCCTACCAATGGAAATCAAAGGGGGAGGGGGTAAATCGCGCTCGGAAGGTCACTCATGCATGATGGAGGTCCAATAGTAGGTTTTCAGAGTCATTAAACCTGAATTTGGTATCAAATGTTGTGTTTCTGGTACTCTTCGAGATGAAACTGTTTTCATATCTTCACTCATAAGCCAGTGGGACCCATCTTGGCACTAATGCTCAGGTAACACAAACGGGTGTCCCAACGGGTTTTCTTGTCGGTATGTATCCCACCTTGTGGCAGCTACCGAAGAAATTTGGAATAATGTAGAATCTTGGTTGATACACTTGGGCCTTTGTGAATCATGAGAGGACCTCTGAACCTTCGTGTATTCTATGCTAGTGCTGATAAAGACAGCTTGTTTATATTGTATTTACATTTAGGTTTTACCTTCAACATCGGTTTCCAGGGGCGACACTGACATCGATGTAATATATTTAACTGTAAAGAGAAATGGAATTAAAAATTGTGAAAATAGCTTTGACTCAATTACAGCTCAAATACTTTTGTTCTTAGAAGGGCAACGCACTAGAAAGTTATTTTTCAATTTTACAATAGAAAGTGTCACGTAGCTTGGTGTAGATATGGGGTTTCATACTATATTTTATACGATTGCCAGATTTTGAATAAATCTTCATATATAAATAGTCTTCATTACAGGAATCTTCTACAAAAGCTTATTAAGAAAAGGCAAAAATTGCGAGATATCTGGAATCCCAAACATATAACTTATTATGATAGGACGTGTTTATTTTTATTTTTTTTTTGCAGTTGAGGTAAAGGAATACTATTTAACCACTTATTCTAAACGCATTACATCATTCCGCTGTTCCTATAAATTTCTGATGATACAGTAATGCATCAAGTTTTAAAGTGGAAAGAGTTTGATTAAAAAATACATTATTAGATACAATGGAAATACTTTAATGAATCTTGAATAAATCTAAGTAAACTTTGGGCAGATTTTAACTTTTCTTTTCATTCGTCTTTTTTTTTCCAAACTGAATAATTAAATCACAGAAAAGTTCCTTCTAAATTTTATTGAAAATGGCGCTCTTGCATACTAATGAATACACTACCGGCTATAGTATTTAATGCACACAAGTTCTAGAACTTTCATTAACAATTTGCATATTGCATGACTCCTTCTCTTTTGTTATGTTGACTCAGTATTTGGCTAAGCTAGCACAAGTTGTAGACACGAGACAGAAACGTTAAAATCGTAAATAATGAACTGCAAGACAATCCAAAACACTCCACGTGTTCGTAAATACACGTCTCTCGTAATACACATGTGTTATTATACAAATTAACTGCCATGTTAGTCTCTTATAATACGATATGCAATAATGAGCACGTAAACTCATATAAATAAAATACATTTGGTACTAACGTAGACTTTATTGTTATGCAGACTAGAAATTGATTGTTGTTCATCACTTATGTTAAGCGCCTACTGCGCACTAACTAATTAATGATAACAATTCAGTGACAGATATCTATAAGAAACATTTTATTTGCAAAGATCAAAGAAAAAGGTCCACGTGGTTAGTAAACGTGTGCAATAGCTCAGTTCTATACAGTCTAAATACTTAATGAATGGTGTCTTCATTGCCGTTGTTTGTACAATTTACTTATTTATCATACGTATTTATTAGACTTTCAACAAAATTCTTTCGTTATCGCTGTTAGAAAAATAACTAAATACACCTTGTTGTTTTTCGCTAATGAGATATTCATGTTTTTTTTTTTGACAATTCAACAAACCCGGATGCCGACATTAATTTACTTTAAATTTCTAGTTATTCTGAGATGATTTTGTTTGTTTGTTTTGAATTTCGCGCAAAGCTACACGAGGGCTATCTGCGCTAGCCGTCCCTAATTTAGCAGTGTAAGACTAGAGGGAAGGCAGCTAGTCATCACCACCTACCGCCAACTCTTGGGCTACTCTTTTACCAACGAATAGTGGGATTGAGAATTACATTATAACGCCCCCACGGCTGAAAGGGCAAGCATGTTTGGTGTGACGGGGATTCGAACCCGCAGATTGCGAGTCGAGTGCCCTAACCACCTGGCCATGCCGGGCCCATTTTGAGATGAAATCAAGATTTTTGATAATATCAAGAAATACTTGAGTATCGACATTTTCATCTTACTTAGAAACACAAAACCTGGGTAATATCACTCATAGAATATCAACATGAATTGATAAAAAAAATTAGTAAATTGAGGAATTTCATGATTGAGAGATTTATTCCTTAATCACATGTTATTGAAATATGAATTTTTTGTTTAGTTCGATTTTTCCCCAAAATTGTAATGTCTTAATTACTCTCTCCAATATAGTTTTATTTATCTTCGCTTCTGCAGCTTCACTGATCTCATTAGAATAAACTTTCATATATTATGCTAATGGTAGTATTTAACGAGAAATTAAGTTGCACATAAACAGAAGCCGTCTCCTGTATATCTCACACTTAACGGAACTTTGTTATACAAGATATAAATACTTTAATGTATTTTTTCATGAATCTTAAAGTACAGAAATTTGCTAGAAGCTTTAATGCTTTGTTCTATTATTATTTTTGTTCAGTCTGCTTTGATTAAATTACATAATTGTGCTTATACATCTTTCTTTTATTGGGCCAAGTCTTATTATTCCAGAAAATGTAAGGATTTGTTAATTTGTAAAGAGTAAGTACATATGTATTTTTGCTTTTATTCTTTTAACCCATCATCGCAGACAGTTCATCCAGGAAAACGCCCTTCCCAGAAAGACGTTGCTAACACGTTGATCATATCGCATATTGTACAGAAAAATGTAAAGAAATGTTTTTTGTTGGGCTATATGGTTGCCAAGTGATTATCATATAATGGGAGAATAAACTTCACAAAGTGCATAATAAAGCAAGGTAAGCTCTTGTTACTATCAGAAGAACCTACTGACATCAATTACGCGTGATGTATTTCTTACAGTGTATGACCAGGACAGCAAGAAGGTACAGGTATTACTGCATCAGAAATTCACACGTCTACGTCCACAGCATAGTTTCTAAAAATATGAAGAATAAGCCGGTGTGCATGTTATCCCCTTCTTCGACATACATACTTGTGAAATCATGGACTCCTGTACCTTTGATTTATGGTTTCCTGCAATAGTATTAATCTGTTCTTCAGAATGGGCACATTTGATAATAAAGTAGCTCCGAAGGAAACTCGGAACGTGGAACATGGTTCTTATAAAGTATGATTAACCCTGCGTAATAATGTTGGAATCACGTTCCCATTACAAGACAACTATTGTTCACCCAAAATACACGATTTTATTATTATGTCTGCTATTTTTAGATAACATTTGT